TAATTGTTATTATGGAGAAGAGAGAGTCACTCAGTCACCTTCCATCGGTCCTCCCACGTACTTTCACCGCACAAATGAGATGGTTTATTTTTATTTTCATTTTATTCATTCATTTAGTTCGGACAAAAATACTGAGGTCATGACCTTGGTGTCCTCAATGGTAGTTACAGTCTTATACTTCAACAGTTTTACGACTGTGGGTGAGTAATTCGTACTAAAAATGATCATTTGGGGGGTGAAGTATCCCTTTAATGTCTAATTCAAAGGTACAATTCAAATTCACAATGCATACAATTTTCCAAACGTATCCTGATACATTTATTCTTACTATATCTTTTGAAAATGCTTATACAGAGGTTCACAAAATACCTAACATTAGCCCCCAGTGCCCCCCTGGTGCTGCATACTTCATGTTAAGTTACATACTTAATGCAAGGTCCCTTAGTAAGGTTTAAGGCAGTTAAGTTTCATAGGTTAGGTTTAGGAACTGAAACAGGGTGACAGTGTACCCTAATGGTTCACTTGGTTTGACGCGGTCCCGAACACTGGTCTCCTGTGGGAACATCCTGTGTTGCTTGACCCATCCATGAGTGCATTGGTCACGTGATCCCAGCCATATCGGTTACGTATGTGGGTTTTACACAAATTACTGAGTCATGGTTAGAGGGGTTATGTAAGAATTGTGGTGCATTACTTGTCATCGGTATACTTCCAAACAGTGCATGAGAACAGCCTGTGTTTAGACCCACTCTTTCTTCCTCCTGGACACTGATGTTCTCAGTGCATAATGTGGGGTCAACAGTGGGCCAAAGTTGCGGTTGATGTTTCATTTTGGAGTAAAGATGGGGTTCAGCTCAACCTGAGAATCAGGGCTGTATGTTGAGCTTCGCCCTGTTTCTACCATCTGCCAATCACATCCAGTTTTTTGTACTGTTGTTTCAGCATTTTGAGTGAGTTAGAACCTTTTGAGTCACCTTAAGGACAAAGGAAATCAGCGACAGCTTCAGAATTGAGATGGCAGCGGGATTGTTGCCTCTCATCCAGACAGAAATGGGGTCAAAGGAAATATAGCTGGACTCCGTTTCGTTTTCTGGAGATTGCTAGCGATTTCATCACTATGAAACTTCATTGTGGCTTGACTTCATTCCAGCTGCAGCATTGTTTGGGCAGAATGACAGTGATTCGAAAATCATCTGGGAAGCATGACACGGTTTCATCATTGCTGAGAAGATTTTCACTCCTCAACTCTCTGGCTGCAAACTATTTTTGGGAGCAGCACTACAAAATAGTCTTGGAGTCTGCTGATGGTTTGGACTCGTACAAAAATAAATGAAAACAAAAATACACACACACTCACACACAGCACTCTAGGAGCTGGTGCAATTTGCCAGGTTTGCTAATTAAACAAATTCACTTGGCCAGCATGCTTGATGAGGAACCAGACTGCGTGATCCAACCTGCTAGTTTCCTCGCTTTCCAAACTTAGAACACACACACACACACACACACACACACACACACACACAAGGCACACTCAAGGAAACCTGCAAATGTGTCCAGCAATTTGGCACTTTGCTCTTCTTTTATTATTCATAGTTCACTTCCAGCCAAGGCTCTAAGTGTCCGTTAAACAAAGGCAAAAATATTTATTGGGTCATATTTTGTTACACGGCCAGCAATAACACTATATCACCTTTGGGAGTGTTCTGTTGTAAATGCTCTGAATTATACGACTCTGTGCTGAGATTGAGTAGCTGCATGAGGAGGAGGGCAGAGAAGTAAAAAGCTGTGGAGAGTGATGGTAATGATGGCGAGGGTGATAAGAATTATGAATGTTGTAATGAACGGTGGTGAAATCCATCCTGAAAATAGTATTGTGATGAGAATGTGATGTGATGATGAACATTATGCTGAAAATGTGACAAGGATGATGATAATACTGTAATACTGATGATGGTAATGGCAATGCTGACGATGATGATGATGGTATCTAGAAGGGTAATGCGTTGCTTAGGCAGATGTAGAGTAGATAGAGTGTGTTTATAGTGAGATTATTAGTATTCTTTTACCTTCTTATCCAGTGATTTATTGCCTGCTTTCACTGTAGGAACCTTTCCAGGGGCCCAGGAACTATTTCAGACACCTTAGTTTCATTTTCACCGGAGGAACCATGGATTAAATTTGCCATAGCTCCCAGAGACAAAATAGACTGGCCCCCGAACTACAGGGATGGAGTTTACAGTGCAGAAAATCGCTGTTTGGTCAAACACAAAATTCATGGCTGCTACAACCCCTTAACAGCTCCATTCACACAGGGTGCCACTTGTATCAATACTAGGCTGAGGGTCGGATATTTCTTGTCCAAGTCATTGATGTTAAAGACAAAGTGAAGTTGTCCGGTTTCCAACTGGTCCAAAAAGAGCAAGATAATGAAGCTGAGAGTACGAATGAGATAGACAGATGGGGCAGCAATTAAGTGAAGATAGGAAGGTAATCAAAGTAAAACTTAAATGGACAGTTCACTCCAAAATACAAAATACATAGTCTTCCTTTCACCTGTTGTGCTATTTATCAATCTAGATACCGAGTGTTGGAGATGTTGCTCGTACAGATGTCTGCCTGCTCTTTAATATAATGGAACTAGATGCCACTTGTCTTGTGGTCCTCAAAGTGCACAATGTCTCTTTCCATAAATCATAATACAGTTACTCAAGATGATCCACAGACCTTGTTGTTTGATAGGGTGATTGACGGAGCAGCATTACTGGTCTCTGCTTTATCCAGTGCAACACACCAGGCTTACTGAACTCAGATCAGAGTTTCAAACTAGGCAGCAATGATCAAATATGAGTCAAGATTCGGTTACTGTATTGCTTATTTTCAGCTTTAAACTATTTTCTGATTCACATTTTAGTGTACTGTTTAGCTCTAATTTGAAAAGGTTTTGTCCTTCTCGAAAATCGTCTGAGCAACGTCCCAACTTGCAGGTGTCGCCCAGCACTATCTCAAACATTGTATTGCTCTGATTGGTTGAAGGTCTTTCCACTTGTTTCCAGGAGCTATTCGGTCTGTGCGTGTTTTTATAATGTCCACTGGAAATCGTAATGAACTGAGAGGTTCAAAACTAGTTTCATGTCAAAACTATTTTCTTTCTACCAAACCACAGCTACCAACTGTATCACCGCACAGAGGGAAGTGTGCATCTACTGCTAGCTTACCTAGCACCACTGAGCTAGCTAATGTTACAGCTCAGCTGAGAAGTACATCATTAATGTTTCCATCTCATGCTGTCATGCACAAGCCTCTTGTCTATGGCCATGTTTACACGAAAACAATCCACTGAAAGCAGAATCGTTTCTCATTTTCTTTTTGAAAAAAGTTCCGCGTTTAGACGACAACTTTTTGATAACAATCGGCGTGCACACGGATCCGCAAAAATGACCAAAACCGCTGCAGTATACATGCCAGGCCAGTAGTTGGCGGTGTGATGCTTACACTTCCTTCTAGGGAGCGGCGATATATAAACAAACAAAATGGCAACCGCACAAACATTTGTCTGGACGGACGACAAGGTGGAGTTGCTACAGTAATTCTACACTATGATGGGGAAGCGTTGATAAATTCAACAGGGTGAGCAGCACAAGCAGAGCTCGGGTCTCTGCCATTGTTGTTGTGACGGTCGACTTTCTCGCCCATGCCTAGTGACTGGAACCGTAATGTGCATGTGTGAAAGTCTCTGTTTTCAGAGGAACTGCATATTGCAAGTTTACATGACAACGGAGACGTTGCTGTTTCCAAAAATTTGCACTCTGGAACCCGTTTTCAAAACTTTGCGTTTTCAGGCACCCAAAACACCACTGTCATGTAAACGATCGGCCAAAATGCAACTAAAGTTTACCGTTTTCAGTTGAAATCGTTGTCATATAAACAGGACCTATGAGTTGATGCACTCTTCCTTCGGTGCGGCGATACGGTTGGTTGGGGCGTGTAGAAAGAAAATAATTCCTACATGAAACTACACAACAAGGTCTGTGGATTATCTTCAGTAACCGTGTCATGATTTCTAGAAAAAGACACGACTGTTGAGGTTTTAAAAATGATTTTTTGTGACATCTTTTACCACTATATTTGAGACAAGGCAGACGTCTCTGCGGCAGATATCTCCAACACGCGGCAGCTCACACCAAAATAATCTAGACTGACCAATAGCACGACAGGTAAGAGGAAAGTATGTGTTTTGTGCTGAACTGAGCCGTCCCTTTAAAGGAATTTTTCTTAGATATGAAGGTCCAGCCAGGACACAGTTAGCGTAGCGTAGCATACAGACTGGAAGCTGGGGGAAATGGCTATACTGGATCTGTCCAAAGGGGAAGTCTGGCCAAGATAACAGATTCAACCAAGGACATAAATGTTAATTAGTTTTACTTTTTTGAAATAGTCTGGCACTTAAACTCTCCCCTTGGTGTTTGTATGAAATAAGTACAATGACTCAGCTTTATTTCCTCCTGTTATATAATTGGACTGATGTGTTCATGGTTCTTCAGATGCAGTAGAGAAACAACAGGTCCTTGTTTAGATCCTGACTTTAGTTCCTGTGGCTTCCTACAACCTGGAAGCTATTAATCTATAAGGGCTATTATTGATTCTTTTCTTTGTCTGTTATGGTCACAAAGTGCATTTTGCTTGTCAGCTCTTCATTGCATTGCTCATTGTTTGCCATTGCTTGACTGCATTTAACTTCCTCACTGCTGCCCTCCATGATGGTTTTACTTCAGGTACATGCTCAGATCGTCCAGTCCTAGCCGTTAGCCATCGCCGCTGCTAATATCCGCATGGTCCTTCCATACAAGCTGTGTATGTGGCTGAGACTCAGCTTCATCGCCATTGCAACTTGGATGCTCATTCGCTCCCCTCCTCCCCCATACCTTCCACGCCACTTCTCCCCCCAGTCGACCATTTCCTCTTACCCCGCCTGCTGACTTTCTAGAGCCCCATATCAGTCCCTCCTCTGTTTTTCTCTTTCTTAGTTCCTCCCAACCTGACAGTCCCTCGGGGCAAGTCCCCCCTGGTGGCCCGCGAGGGTGACACAGTGGAGCTGGAGTGCCTTGTTTCAGGGAAGCCCAAGCCCATCATCCTGTGGTCGAGAGCCGATAAGGAGGCGCCCATGCCGGACGGCAGTATGCAGATGGAGAGCTATGACGGCGTGCTGCGTATTGTTAATGTGTCCAGGGAGATGACGGGCTCATATCGCTGCCAGACCAGCCAGTTTAATGGGTTCAACGTGAAGCCCCGGGAGGCCGTGGTGGAGCTGATCGTACAATGTGAGTAGACAGTGGATATTTTTTGTCTGTGTGTGTCTACATGTGTGTCTACATGCACGTTGCAGTGTTGTAACAGGGCGTCATTTGTCTCTGTGGTGTGTTTTCTATGTACGCAGTGTAATTAATCTCTGGGTTCTGGTCCAGTGTGACCGAAATTGAACATTCCTCAATTTCTTTCCTTCCACGCCCATCCAATTTTCTTCTGAAGGCTGTAAAATTAGTCCGGTCCCCTGGTACCCTGCAGTCAGGTCTGAGCGGAGAGAGCTCTGACTCCACCTCTTACACTAAGGGGAGGACTTTATCTGCTGAGTGTGAACTGTGCACAACTAATATTAACAGAGGCACAGAGCTCTAGGTACTGACGTCCACACATATTAGGGTCTGTCTGCGCATGTGTGTGTGTGTGTGTGTGAGCACTCACATCAGACAAGACCCACAGACTGTGTGCCACGTCCCCGGGCCTCAGCGCCGCCGCTCATTGTGAAACCCCTTCCATTCCTTAAGATGTCACATTCAAAGATGGCTTAACGGCTAATTAGCGAGCGGCTAATTTATTCCCACTAGTATTCATTTTGTATTCATTTATGGAGATTTGAATGGAATATTTCGAATGAACGTCAGGGATTCAAACCGTTTTCACTCATTCAAGGACTGGGGACGTTTCTCTCCGCCGCAAAAAAAAAAAAGAACGGAAGATGGATCGGAAGGAAATTAAGGCGATCTGTGTAGGGTGCCACCATTCTCTGGCAAGTGATTATAGGAAATAGAAAAAGTGAGTCTCATTGCAACAGTCCCATTGTTTTCCTCATGGCCTACTTAGTTAATCCATACATTCTTCCATCTCGACCAACCCTTATCTAGGAAGAACCTGTGCAGCTGTATGTCACTCTTAAACTACTTTCATGTGAATGGCAATTACCATGCTCTCCGTTCTCCCCATTGGACATGGCAAACATAACACTGCAGGAAAATATTCAACAACTTTAAATCGTGAACAGTAAATCAGAATAATGGCCGCAGCTCAACCTGGGGTTTTGATTCGAGGTGATTTCGACACACCCAGTACCAGTACTTTGATTGAAGAGGAACAAGAGCAGCCCCCCTGCACAGTTCGGCTGACAAGGATTAGCATATAATTCTGCCCTAATTTTTTCTGGGGATTTTATTGTACTCTTTGCTATGGCATTCACGTTTCAGCTTAGCCGTTAGCCACTCTGCTGCGTTAAGAGTGTTAATGAAGTTTTGATGTGCTTTGAAGAAGACTGTGTTACAGTTTTTGGCTGAATTGATTATGATTATGCAGTGATGACAGCCCGTATCAAAGGTTAGTGGCTTTGCTACGCACCGATGCTGACACCATAAAGTAAACAAAGGATTTGGACTCTAAGATGCCCTTCATTAATTAGCAACACCCGGTGGATCAGCTGCCTCATGCAAAGAGGGTGTGGTGTGATAGAGACAAGTTGTTGGACGCAAAATTAAAACAAGATTGGAGTTAATGGCTTTTATCATTTATAGGGACAGTTCATCCTAAAATCAAAAATACATCTTTCTCCTCTCATCTGTGGTGCTGTTTATCAATCGAGATTGTTTTGGTGTGAGCTGCCAAGTGCTGGAGATGTCTGTCGTCTCTCCACTATAATGAAAGCAGCAGTGGGGTGGAGGCTTGTGCTGGTTTTTCATATGGACTGCTGTACATGTGGTAGATATTTTAATGTGACTTGTTTAAAAGAAGGACACGGAGAGGTCACCCCAAAGTTCACCCCCAAATCAAAACAACAAATTTTTCCTCTGACCTGTGGTGCTATTTATCAGGCTAGATGTTTTGGTGTGAGCTGCAGAGTGTTGGAGATATCAGCTGTAGAGATGTCTGCCTTCTCTACAATATAATGGAACTAGATGGCACTCAGCTTGTGGAGCTTAAAGCGCCAAAAACGTACATTTGAAAAACTCAGCATCAGTGTCTCTTTATAGAAATCATGACCTTGTTTCTCAAGATTATCCACAGACCTCATCATGTAGGAACTATTTTCTGTCTACTGAACTACACCTGCCGAACGTATCACTGTGCAGAGGGAAGCATTCATTCACTCAGGGGCAAGAGGCTCATGCTCGTGACAGCATGAGATGTAAACATTAATGGCGTCCTCCTCTGATGAACTGTATCGTTAGCTAGCTCAGTGGTGCTAGGTGAGCTAGCAGTTGATGCATGCTTCCTTCTGCACCATAATGCAGTTGGCAGGTGTATCTTGGTAGAAAGAAAATTGTTCCTACATCAAACCGCTCACAACATGAGCCAATTACTTAAGATATTCCACAGACCTTGTTGTGAGCAGCTGCATGCAGGAACTGTTTTCTTTCTACTGAACTATACCCACTAACAGCATTATGGTGCAGAAGGAAGCATGCATCTACTGCTAGCTCACCTAACAACACTAAGCTAGCTAACGTGACAACTCAGCTGAAGAGGACGCCATTAGGTGGATTCCTTCACCTTCTTGCTTAGTGACTTATAGCCAGTTTCTACTGTAGGAACCTTTCCAGGGGCACAGGAACTATATCAGAAACCTTACTTTCATATGACTGGAGTAAACAGGGACTAAATGTAGTTTATCTGCCATAGTTCCCAGTGACAAAACAGTCTGGCCCAGGAACTGAACAGTGCCTGCTGGCTGGGAGACTGTGGAACTATCGGGATGAAGTTCACAATGCTGAATGTCACTGATTGGTCTAACACAAAATTCATGGCTGCTACAATCCCTTCACATCATCAGTTGCACACAGTGAGCAAGTACAGAGTGCCACTAGTATCACTGCTGGGGTGAGGGCTGAAGACTTCTTGTAAGATTCATTGTCAGGTTTCCAGAAACAGCCAGGCGAAGAGCGTGTGAACGACCTGAGAGCACGAGTGAGTTCAAGAAATGGAGCAGCGATCAAGTGACGATAGGAAGCAAAATTTAAAGGGACAGTTCACCTCAAAATGAAAAATACTATTATTTATATTACCTCTTATTTGTAGTGCTGTTTTTCAGTCTAGACTGTTTTGGTGTGAGTTGCAGAGTGTTGGAGATATTAGCCGTAGAGATGTCTGCCTTCTCTCCAATATAATGGAACTAGATGTCACTCAGCTTGTGGTGCTCAAAGCGCCAAAAAATACATTTGAAAAACTCAACATCATTGTGTCTTTACAGAAATCATGACCTGGTTACTCAAGATAATCCACAGACCTTGTTGTGAGCAGTTTCATGTAGGAACTATTTTCTTTCTACCAAGATACATCCGCCAACTGCATTATGGTGCAGAAGGAAGCGTGCATCTACTGCTAGCTCACCTAGCACCACTGAGCTAGCTAATGTTCCAGCTCAGCCAAGGAGGACGCCATTAATGTTTACATCTTGCGCTGTCACGAGCACAAGCCTCTTGTCCGTGAGTAGATGCACACTTCCTTCTGCATAGTGATACGTTTGGTGGGTGTAGTTTAGTAGAAAGAAAATAGTTCCTACATGAAACTGCTCACAACAAGGTCTGCGGATTATCTTGAGTAACCAGGTCATGATTTCTGTAAAGAGACATTGATGTTGAGTTTTTCAAATGTATTTTTTGGTACTTTGAGCTCCACAAGCTGAGTGCCATCTAGTTCCATTATACTGGAGAGAAGGCAGACATCTCTACGGCTGATATCTCCAACACTCTGCAGCTCACACCAAAACAGTCTAGACTGATAAATAGCACCACAGGTGAGAGGAAAAATTTGTTGTTTTGATTCAGGGGTGAACTTTGGGGTGACCTCTCCGTGTCCTTCTTTTAAACAACAGTCACATTAAAATATCTACCACATGTACAGCAGTCCATATGAAAAACCAGCACAAGCCTCCACCCCACTGCTGCCTCAGTCGTTTAAAAAGACTTAAAAAATGGATGATGCTGTTTTCCCCTCCGCTCCCTCTCAGCAGAGAGAGCAGTTTACTGCCACAAGCAGCAGTAGGTCACACTGATCTTGCCTACCGTTTGGAAAGCAGCAGGGGCACATACTGTATTCTGCGTAGCATTTTTCCTCAGAATGGCACAATTAGAGCAGGAAAAAAAGGCAAATAAGCACAAACTGTCCACAAGCTTTTTGGACAACAGCTATTATTGCAGCATTTATTCCTGCATTTGTGGCAGCATCACACGCTACAGCTCCATCTGCAAATCAGTGACAAATCAAAGCCATGACACAGACAGCCCAAAATAAAAGACCTCTTCAGATTCTAGGAATAAAATGTCCTCAAGTCTGAATGAAAAATAGAAGTCTTCTTCACATAGTTAAAGGCACTATGTGTAACAGTTTCAGTTGTTCTTTGAGACAAACAAATTTTGCAGTCAAAAGTGTGTCCTAGCACATGTGTATTTACCTCCATCAGCGTATCTAAGTATGTCCGTAAGCTCCGAAATTCTCATTTAGGCCTACATATACATTGCGACCGGACGTGCTCCATCTTCAAAATACAGGTAGGTACAGGGACATACTTGAGAAATACGGAATCGCCTTTCGCATTTTCACTTGTCGGTTTCCGGTTTCCGCCCGCAGGTAGAGTGACGAAAAGCAGCAGCAAGCAGGCTAGTCACAAGTGCTGGTGCATTCAAAAAAAGGCAAAAAGGCAACGTGACCGGCGATTTCAAAAAACGAGGGTCAGCATCGGGGTAGCCTTTCCCAGGTGGAGAGAGCTGCTGAAGGAGAATCACAGCTAACAGCGGCTCACAGCTGTTAGCCGCTGTTAGCTGTGATTCTCTGCTGTGATTCTCAGCGCTGTTAGTGCTGTTAGGGACGCAGTGTTGCGAGGAGAGGGATAAGGTGTGTGAGGTTGAGCCACTTGTCAGTTAGTCTCTACATACAGACTCTACATTCAGTGAATGTCTGTAGGCAAACCCCAGAGATCTTGCCTCTGGAAGAAGAGCGGAAGAGCCCTGGTTTCTGGTTGTAGGCTGTTTGTAGTCCATGTGATATTGACCAATCACGT